TAAAAGCCAGTAACCAGAGTAATTGTAAAAAGAGATATTCATTCACTCATTAACATAATTAATTTTAAAAATGTAGCTATAAACAGTCTATAGTTAAACTTAATATAGAAAAGAATATATATCAAAGATAAATTTTTTAAAGATTTTATTTATTTATTTATTTATTTATTTATTTATTTATTGAGAGGGCACACCATTTTGATTTTTCAGATGAGGACCTTGGGGGCCGTAGAGGAATGAAGTCTGACTTAATTTATTTTTATTTTTTTAACTTTTTTTTATTGTTGCTCAAGTACAGTTTTCTACCTTTTCCCCCCACCCCTCCCCTATTTATTTTTAGAGAGAGGGGATGGGAGGGAGAAAGAAAGGGAATGAAACATCACTGTGTGGTTGGCTGTAGCACACCCCCTACTGGAGGCCTGGCCCACAACCCAGGCATGTGCCCTGGCTGGGAGTCAAACCAGTGGCACTTTGGTTCGCAGGCCTGCGCTCAATCCACTGAGCTACACCAGCCAGGGCCAAAGATAGACTTTTTTTTAAAGAGTTTTTAGAGAGGCTGCTTATTGACTAAAAAGTTAACTGTTAATAATTTCAAAGAAAAAACAAAAACCTGTGAATTTTGTGTATCTAATATAGTCTGGTATCCCACACAAAAATTTACCGAATTACATAACAAAAATTAAAAAGCCTACAAACATGTGAAACTTTTTAATTCCCCTCTCAAAAGCTGGTAAAAACAAGACCAAAAAGTAGTCATTTCTTAGAATATTTTAAAGCTTTATATAGAAATCTGCATCCCAAAACAGACACTGAATATTCTCTTTAAGCATGTGTGGGACATTTAGTGAAATTGGCCACATAACAAGTCTCAAAAAAAGCCTCAAGCAATTTTACAGAACTGACATTTATAATTAACTTGCATTGATTATAGAAAATTTGGGAAATGTAGACAGTTTAAAGCTCAAGATAACAATCATCTGTAGTCCTACTATAGCCAGAATTTATCTCCTTAATATCTGGCATAGTTTCTTAAGTCCTTTTTAAAGCGTGTATTTATACACGCTTTTCATTCTTTTTTTTTTTAATGCTGAGATTTACAGTATATTCCCTTCGTAGCCTGTTTCAGTTGCAAACAATAATCTTGGCTTATTTCGCCTACAGATGCGCTGGCCTCTCTACAATTTATTTTCATTACAAAGGCTAATGGGAAGATCTGCTACCTGCGGTAATGTGTGGTTCTTGGAAGAAAATTAATGGTCACCCCTAGGTAAATCTGGGACAAAGTGGCTACCGAATGCATTGATGGAGAAGTGAAGAAGTCGAACAAAAACCAGATTCCCACTCTAAACAAAGGATCTACTTGCCTTCCTCACCAATTCAGAGCCAGCAGGAGCTGGGGGGAGTGAGGGGCGGGGAAGCAGGGGATCCCCATTAACACCAACTTGAGAAGACAGGACACAAATCACCATCCGGGACCAGAGGGAGAAGAAGTGCTAAATAGGGGCCCAAGAGAGAAGCCAAAGAAAGACAAGGGCTGGGTGTGGATGGAGACATTAAAGAATGAGTCAGGATCGTTGCCGGTACCTCAAAGGGCGTCGTGTCTTTCTCTGCCCCTCCTTCCCGCACCACACTCCCATCGCTAAACAAAGTCACAACTGTTGATGTTCTGCTGCTTGAACCTTTAGGTCCGAGAGCTGTTTAAACCTGCTGCAGGGCACCATCCCCCGGACGAAGGGCGAGGCGGTGATACTTAGGGCGTGGTTACTCCTCCGGCTGTACTCCACCCGGAGAAGAGCGGGTGGGGGAGGTGGGGGGAGGTGGGGGGAGGCCGGCAATCCGAAAGCAGGGACAGCCCAGGGCACTGCGTCTCCCGGCCTCCAGCACACTCACCCGCAGACCTTGCCACTGCCGAGCCGCGCCCTCGAAGGGAAGGGGATTGGGGTGGGGACCTTGAGAATGCCTCCCTCCTGATTCAGGTCATTTCTGCTAAAGGTCTGACACACGGTTGGGCTTGTTATATTTTAACTATTACTTGTATTTTTCTTTAAGTGCACCACAGTGATATGAGGCCCACACTTTGGTTTAAAACAGTTCTAAGTTTAAAGCCAATTCTCAAGTCCCTTGTATTAGCCGTTTGGCAGCTACAGAGTGATTTACCACCTTTCTAAACCTGTTTTCTCGACTGTAAAATAGAATGAAGGACGCCTACTTTATGGGGTTAAATTAGCTAAAATATGCAAAACACTTAACACAGCGCCGAGCCCGTAGTTAAATGGTAGCAGTTAGAATGACCATTTAACACGTCTTTGTTAGTCTTCCTTGTTTTTTTACCCCCACTCTACTTTTATTGAACTACTTCTGCCTTTCTCTCATTATTTATTTGGGTGCGGAAGGGGGTGCATTTCTTTTGACACCATTTGGAAATCTATTGCTATCTTCCAGGAGCCTTATTTTTCCATCCTGTTCAGCTAATCCCCCTGTAGTGTATCCATACATGACTTCCAGTATTGGGAACAGACTTAGACATAGAAGTAAGTGATGTAAAACAGAGCTCATAGGTGCTTTGATAGGAGTGTGTAGGAGCACAAAGGAGGAAATGAACACATGGAATGAATCCAGAAAGGCTTCAAAGAGGAAGTGACTCTTCAGCGTTGGCTTGAAATCAGATAGCCCTGGTTTTGGACACATGTTCTGCCACTTACTGGCTGTGGGTCAGTTGGCTAATCTGACCAAGTGTCAGTCTCCTCAAGAAATCAAGGAAGATAAGAATGCCCACTAAAAGGTGTGTGGGGTGGAATGAGCTGATCAACGTGAAAGCCCAAGGAATTGACAGATAATCAATGAGCAATACATCCCACTTCTCTTGCCTTCCTCGCCTTTCCTGTCCTACCTGCTCCATTATCTTCTCCCAGCTCTTTCCTCCACTACCCATCCTCCTTTCCATCCTCAGTTTAGTTTGGTGTCCCCTGGGAACACAGCCCTCCTAGTCACAGAGAAAAACAGAAAGTCCGGGGAGTTGTAGGTTGACCCCCGGAAATGGTCCTCACAAAGATGTTGATGCATAGACGAGTTCTGTGGTGACTCATGAACATCTGTCCGTGTGGGTCGCAGTACGCGTTACAACAGAGTTCCTCAGCTTTTTGAGAAAAGTGCAACGCAAGGTTGAAACAGAAGTCTTGCTAAAGATCAACATCAAATTCATCTCCCCTATCTCCCCAACCTACTAACCTTTGGACTCTGTCCCTTAAAATGAGGGGAGTATAATATGTGTTCTTTCACAATGTGATTTGTGACATTTTTTCCCCTGGTTTATCCTGGACCTACAAAGTAAAATTTCAAATGTCTTCAGGTCACTACTTTGTCTTAAATTATGAGGATTTCATTTCTCCGTTTAAACCCCTATACTGAGAAAGCACGAGGAAATTGGGAAGACATTGAGTCCGCTTCTGTGGGGGCTAAAAAAAATAATTATACTTTTCCTCCCACCTTCTAAACTCTTCCAGCTAGCCTAATAATCAGATTAACAGAGACACAACAACAGGAGAAAAGTCCAGCTTTAATGTGTGTGCCCTGGAAATTCACATGAGCACGAATGTTCCAAAGACACTGAGGCAACGTTGGATATTTATGTCATTCTGGGCAAAGGAGGAGGCTGGATCTTAGATCTGAAAAGTGAGAATGGGCACTTTGCAGGTAATGAGGACGAGTGGAACATGCCAGGCACGTACGTGTCTGCCAAGCGACCACAAAACAATGGGGCATGGGGGTGGGGGTGGGGGGCTTAGTCACGTTAGGCTCCTGCCTGGAGTCTTCCTGCTTAATGCTAAAGTGATTGTGTTAAGTTTCCCTTTCTGAAGCAGGTTTTTTCCCCGCTGAATTGCTTAGGCAGGAAAGGAGGGAAGGTCAAAAGTTCCTCCTGAGTCTTTTGTTTCTTAATAAGCAGCTTACAAATTAATATCCCAAACGGCAAAACTTTTGGTCCCCTTCGCTTCTCTAGAGAGGAAAAGCTGAGGAGGAGGAGGAGGAAGAGGAGAAGGAGGACCTCTTCTTCAACACAGACCTGCCCTGGGAATCGTGTCTCTTTGGCCAGTACTTTCTCTGACTGGAGATCAAAACCTGATGGACCACCGCTGCTGGGGAAGTAGTGGGTCCTGATTTCAGCTCCACTGGATGCCATTTTCTCCTCCTGAGCCAGGTCCAGCCTGACCTGATCCACTTCCCGCCCTCCTCCTACAGAAGACAGTTCCGCTGGGGTCCGAGTTGGCGTGGCTCTCAGCAGCATCACCTGACAACATTCATTATCAAAGGACTCCGGCCACCTCCACCACCACACACGCTGGGCCCTCCTGGTGCAGGCAACAGCGTCCTTGCCTTCCAGTGTTGGCAGTCTCGGAGCTGACGAGGTGCTTACAGTAGAAAAGGGGACGAAGGTAACACATGGATGTCGTCAGAAGCCCCAGGAAAGCAGAGCTCACATTGCGATGAGCTGGTGGGAATGGCTTCCTGATTGACATCCATTGTGCCTTCTCCATCTGTGCGGAGGCTCTGGTTTAGAAAGTCTTAGAAAGCCATCGAGGACATGAACTTGGGAGCCAGACTGCCAGGACTTGAGGCTCAGCTCTGGCAATGAGCTGGGTGTGACCTGGGCAACGGCTTAGCCTCTCTGTGCCTGTGTTCTCCCTAAAATGGGGACCATAATACTACTTGCCTTATCGACTTGCAGTGGGTAAAAAAAATGAGTTAAGATATGTGAAACACGTGCTGTATAGTAAACACTAATAAGAGTTCCCAACTATTAATGAGTGGTGTGCTTGTGAGCGAGAAAAGTACAAGTGAGTGTCTGTGTAATTAATTAACACTGTCTGGGCCGGAGCATGTGTGTTTAAGACACTCTCTGGGACGGTTTGCCTAATCTCATCCTTAAGCAAAATGCCTTGTAATTGGCGCAGCCCCGAAAATCCACAGGCACCCGCGCCTGTATGCGGGAGGCGCTGCTCTAGCTGCGTGGTCTGCCTCTGGTCTGTAAACACGTAGGGGCGGAGGGGGCTGCGGGTGAGCCCACGCTGCGCGTCCGACCCCAACCGCTGGGTGTGAGACTGCGTCCCTGCGTGTCACAAACACACACGGATGTGAACCCTGCTTCATTCGACGTGCGTGTCATGGCTTAAAAATAGATGCTAATCCGTCAAGCGGTCTGGCAGTGGCAGCGAAGGGGGCGGCGACAGCAGGAGAGTCATGGCCGTGGCCGAGGGGCTGCGGGCGCCTGCGATCTGCCTCCGGGACTGAGGCCCCCGCCGGCACAGAGAGGTAGGGGGTCTTCGGAGGGTGGCCGCCTTCCCAGCCGGGGCTGTGGGGGAGACAGGGGACGGGAGAGGGGGCCTGGGAGCCAAGCAAGCCGTGCGCTCCCGGGCTCCCTCCCTCCATCCCCAGCGCCGGGCTGTCTGGGTTGGCAAGGGCTGGGAGACAGCCATGAACCTGTTACAACCGCGACAGCAGGCGGAGGAGGGGGGCGGGGGGCGGCAGACGAGGGCCCCTGGAAGCCGGCAGATGGGGTTGCAGAATGCGGAGGGGTGTATCCTGGAGCAAGATGGGGCTTCTGCAACCCCCAGGGGAAAGACTCCCCCTGGAGGGGCTTTCTACACCGGGTCTCCTTCCCGCTCCCTTTTCACCATTCAGCCTCCCACAGGCAGCGGGATCTGCTTCCGGAAAAGGCTGTTTTGGAATAAAGAATGGGGTCTTTAGGCCTGAGGAGACAAGGCAGATGTAGATAGTGATGATGATGATGGTGATGATGATGATGATGATGATGATGGCTCTGGGGCTGTATTTTTGCACTCTGACTCAGACGCAGAAAAAATTTCTTCCCAAATACCCCTAAATCCAGTCTCTCCTCACCAGTTCTTTCCTAAGAGCCCTGCTTGTTATCCCCTGTAAGTGCGTGGTCTCTCCTGGGGGGGCGGGGGGCACATGAAAGCGTGGATGGGGGTGCACCGCCAGGGCAGGACAAAAATAGCCTTCCCTGCTGGACTTTGATGAGGGCTCTGGGTCTGAAGGCCGGGAAGGGAGCGGGAGAGGGGTTCTTCCCGCCAGGCCTCCTGCCTTGTCAGACATGCGGGGCCACAGTGTGACAGGAGCCCGTGCAGAGGGCTCTTGCCACAGTCTCCCCTCTGCCTGAAGGTCCCGGGGCGCCTGGCCCTTCCCAACTCTGCAGCTCAGCACATGGTCCCCTTTTCAGAAGGGCCAGCGGTCCAGAGGGAGTCAGAGGCAGGCACACCAGCCACGCACAGGCCCATCCCAGCCCCTGAGGCCCTGGGCCTGGCAGGATCCCTCACTCTTCCCTTTCCTCCCCCGCTCAGCCCCCCACCCTCCTTCTGCCCCCTCACCACACACACCCAGACACAATGCTCCAGCTCAGAAAAGCTCACACTAGAGATGGGGTTTAGTCTTTCCTTTATGCTGGTCAGAGGAGAGTGGCTGGCTTGTTGCGCACATAGACGGGTACCTTCTTCCATCGGCTCATGCATTCAGCAAGTTACCCTTCCTCTTTATTGCTCTCTCCGCTCACCCCATACCCCCAACATACGCTTCCCATAGAGGCTTCTGACTGAGTCAGAGGGAGGGTGGGAATGGGTTAAAGCAGCCCATCCCTCTGGCACTGAGGAACGGGCAGGTTTGGCAGATGTCAGGGCCCCAGCTGCCACTCTTCCTGCTAATTCTCCCTGGGCGGGGACACTCGCCCTCCACCTCCCATCCCAACTCCCTAGCCTCTCGCCTGCAGCCCCAGGCAGATGAGACCCACTTTCGGGCTGGCAGGAGTTCCGGCATGGGCACTGCCACCCAAACACCAACTGTTTGTGTGTGTGTTTATGTGTGTGTGGTGGGCGTGGGGGTTGGGTGCTGGAGCAGAACCCGGCAGCTGGGCAGTTCCCTCTCCCTGTAAACAAGGGCACGTGACTCTCCCACCTCCTTGTGAGGAAGAACCACGAGAGCAGAGAGAACGGCACTGCCGCAGCCCAAGAAGACAATCCTGGAGGCCCCGCCAGGGCCAGACTCGCCTTCCCTCTGTGGACAACCTTCTCCCCGGGACCCAGCCCAGTTGGCAGGAAGGGAAGGAGCTGCTCTGGACTCACTCAGGTGTGCCTCACATCCCTTCCTCTTCCAGCAACAGCTACCTGGAGACGGAGCCATCATCACCGCAGCCACCGGGCAGCTGTCACGGTTTCTGCCACCTCTAAGATGTGCCCTGGTAACTGGCTCTGGGCCTCCATGACTTTCATGGCCCGCTTCTCCCGGAGTAGCTCGAGGTCCCCTGTTCGCACCAGAGGGCCCTTGGAGGAGATGCCAACCGTTCAACATCCCTTCCTCAATGTCTTTGAGTTGGAGAGGCTTCTCTACACAGGCAAGACAGCCTGTAACCACGCCGATGAGGTCTGGCCAGGCCTCTACCTCGGAGACCAGTATGTACCCAGCAAACCGGAGCCAGGGCCGACTGTGTGTGTGTGTGTGTGTGTGTGTGTGTGCGCGCGCGCGTGCTCGTGCGCCCGCATGAGCATGGGTGTGGAAGAAGAAAGGAGAAGGGTGGCAGAGAGGCGCCGAGTGGTATTGTCGGTTCCAGATTGAGGATCAAGGGGTGGGGGTGCACGGGCGGAGTGGAGGCTGCAGGGTTTTGGGGGGCTGGGCAGGATGATTGACCTACCCCACTCGGAACAGAATGACTCTGTTCAATAATGTCACTTGTTTAGCAAGACTTCTTACTGAAGGCTATGGACCAGACATAACAAATGATTTATGTGACCTTCTATCTATCGTGCTATGGCTCTGGGAAAGAAAAAAAAAAAGGCAGTCGTGGGAGCCAGCATCAGTGGGTAGGAAGGTGAAGGGTTGACCAAGCAAAGTTGCAGTGTATGCAGAGGTTCTGCAATATGGGGCTATGGAGAGAAGAGCATCAGAGGAAACGTCGTCCCCACTTCTGTCTCTCAGGGGCTCTATAGTATACAAGCAGTTTTTCACATGCATTTTCTCTCTTAATCTTCACAACAGCCTTGTGAGGTAGGTACCACTATCCCCAGGTTACAGATGAGGAAACTGAAGCTCAGAGAAGTTGTGACTGGCCCAAGGTCACACGGGTCGTAAGTAGCAGAGCCAGGACTTGGAGGTTCAAGTTCAGTGCTCTTTCTACTTGAGAAGTTTGCACTGGACAGGGCATCTGCCCTGAGATATGACCATGTTACCCGAGGGGCATCTACCACTAAGGGGTATGAGCCACATGAGCACCTAAAGGTGACGTCATAAAACAGGGTAAATGTGAGCATGAAATAACTGGCAAAAGAACATTCCGGGTGTCAAAGAGAGTACAAAGCAACAAGGGAGGCAGGTGTGGGAGCAAGGGTCAGAATCATGTAATCTCAAGGTTAGTGGGGATGTTCAGTGCGAGCTGGTCCAGTCTGACGTCCCATCCAATGTCCCATGCCCCTCCATTGCTCCACGCCCATACTTTGACCTCCTCTCTCTGCTTGAATACCCCGGCGACAGGAAAATCACTCTCTCCCACGGTGCTCCCATCTTTCTTCAGCCACACTCCACTGTTAGTACGGACTTCTTGCATGAAGCACACATCCAACAAATCCTTCCTACAGATCAAGTAAAGTCCCACAGCCTCAGAGCACTGGCCAATATTTTATTATGGCTATTGTTCATCCTCCTCCAGGCGACCCTCCCCACCCCTCCAGGTCAGACTTCCTGCACATTGCCCATCTTCCTCCCTCCATTCCGGGTCATCAGTAAGCAGAGTGGAGGCCTCGGGCGGTGACATTACCTTGGCAGTGGGCAGGGCACAGACCAGGGACTCTTGCCCCCCAGCCTTGCTTCCCCACCCTCCCTCTAACCTCTACTCAATGCAGGGACATAGCTAACAACCACCGCGAGCTGCGGCGCCTGGGCATCACCCACGTCCTCAACGCCTCACACAGCAGGTGGCGAGGCACGCCCGAGGCCTACGAGGGGCTGGGCATCCGCTACCTGGGTGTCGAGGCCCATGACTCGCCAGCCTTTGACATGAGCATCCACTTCCAGACGGCTGCCGACTTCATTCACCGGGCGCTGAGCCAGCCTGGAGGTAGGCGGGGAAAGCAAGGAGTGAAGGGACAGGGGCCGCTGGGCTAGGGAGGAGCCGAGGGCTCCGGAGTGGGGAGAGACGGATTCTAATGACGGGACAAAATGCTCAGGTATAATGTTAAGGAAAGAAAAACATTCTCTCGGCCATTTTTTAAAAGATTTTATTTATCTATTTTTAGAGAGGGAAGGGGGAGAGAGAGAGAGGGAAGGGGGAGAGAGAGAGAGAGAGAGATCAATGTGCAGTTGCTGGGGGCCATGGCCTGCAACCCAGGCATGTGCCCTGACTAGGAATCGAACCTGCCATGCGTAGTTCGCAGCCCGAGCTCAGTCCACTGAGCTACGCCAGCCAGGGCTCAACCGTTTTTAAAATACATGAAATAACGTGAAGACATTTTAAAAAATGAGAAGGAACTAAACCAAAGTGTTGAGAGTGGCGAGTTGTACTGGGGTGGTAAGATTATGGGTGACATATTTGAATCTTTTGCTACTTGACACATTTCCATACTTTCCAAGTGTCTCTACTTTGAGCAGTTTTTGCTTAATAAAAAATTTGTACTTAATAAAAAATATATTGAACGCCTCCCCGCAAAATAGATGACAGAAACAGCAAGATGGAAGGGTGGGGGAGAGTGGAGGAGGGCCGGGTTAGACTCAGGGTGTTTTCGCTGGATGCGCTCAGCGAAGATCCCCTGAGGCCGTCCTCTGCGCAGAGCTGGGTCCCGCACCACTTACGAGTCTCTGCCTCAGGGCCCTCCCTGGGTCCGTGGACGCTGACTTGCTGTACGTCCTCCACCTCGTTTGGTCTACACAACTGGCTGGGGGTCTGCATTCTCACCACCGCTCATCTGGGCCTGCCCTGTGCTCATGCGCCTCCACGCCCTCCTCCCTGATGGTGTACGTAGCCCTTGCCTTCTAACCACCGCCTGTGTGTCCATCCGCACAGGGAAAATCCTGGTGCACTGCGCTGTGGGAGTGAGCCGATCCGCCACGCTGGTGCTGGCCTACCTCATGCTGTACCACCGCCTCACCCTCGTGGAGGCCATCAAGAAAGTCAAGGACCACCGAGGCATCATCCCCAATCGAGGCTTCTTGAGGCAGCTCCTGGCCCTGGACCGCAGGCTGCGGCAGGGTCTGGAGGCGTGAGGGGCGCGGAGAAGGGAGGTCGAGCCAGGCGTGGGGTAGGTCCCTGGCTCCCTGCTGGAGAGAGAAGGCCCAGGCGGCAGGTAGCTAGAGGCCCAGATAACCCATCCTCCCCGGTAGGCAGGAGAGTGAGAGGGCTGAGGTGTGGTGCCCCATTACTATTTGTCCGGGTGGGATGCGGAGTGAGGGTGGGGAGTGTGATGGACACCCAGGAGGGAGTCCAGCAAGGAAGGAAGCCGCTAGGCTGTAGGCAGAAGTCTGTCCTGGAATCTGCACACCATTGGATTCCTGCCAGAGCACCCCCTTGCCCCCCAGTGATTCAGAGCCCCTTCTCCGCTTTGTGCCCACGTGTTCCCCTTTCTCACTCATCAAAACAAAAGGGTCATCTCTGTCCTGTGCTTGTGCAGGGAGTCGGGGCTGCAGCAAGCGTGAACGTGACGGTGTAGAGCTGTGTGGAGATGGTAGCGTAGAGACAGACGGTGCAGAGGTGGTATGAGAAGCTGTGAAACCCGAGGGAGAAACCCACAGACTTGTTACTCCAAGCACAGGAAGAGCAGGTGTGGGAGGGTTGGCACTGTGCCCGTGGGTGCCAGTTGTGGCCCAAAGCGACAGAGATGCATGACTGCGAGTCTTTACAGAATCGCTCGCTTATGGGGTGCAATTGTCTTGGGGAAAAATAAAGATGGTGGACAAGAAGAGAGCCTCTTGAAGTCACTGACAGCTTGTTTGAGTTCTGTACCTCTCCCTGTGAACCCGAAGTCCAATTTCACACTCCTTAGTGAAATTTTGAACTGTTGTTTCCAGCTATGTCCACACAGGGGCAGCAGAGGACCAAAAAATAAGCCTCCGTTCACAAGCTGAAGAGTGTAAGAAATATACATTTATTTTCAAAAAGTCAACCTGGTTTCTACAGCAAGTCCCCACAGTGATGGGATAGCAGAATATTATCTCAAACCAATCCCAATGTAAATCCTACCTTGAGAGGTTTGGGTTTTCCCGTTGCCAAGGAACCGGAGAGGAGGGAAGGAAACATGATACAATGCTTCCTCTTCTAATCTTTCCAGGTTTGCCTCGGAGGAGTGCAGCGCAATCTCCGTAGTAAACTTATGCAAATACTAGACTCGCCAACCAGAGAGAATAGTATGCTCTTTCTGTTATCCCAAGCGCCAAGTTGTCAGCTACCACCCCTACCCCGTTCCCCCCCCTCCGCCCCCCGCTTTTTTTCTAAGTCATGTTCCGGGGACAGAATATCTCTGCCTGAAGGGAAGGAGGGGATGCGATGGAAGAGGAAGGGAAAGACACAGAGAAAACAATCTCAATATATCTGAAGAGTATATTCTACCATAAAAATATGGAAACTGAACCTCAGAGCTGGGCGGTGCCTTAGGGGAGGTTCCATTTTCACTCTCCAACAAGACGTAAATACATCATCTTTTCACTGTCTTCGGTGACAGGCACCAAGGGTTGGTTTGGACGCCTCTGATGGTAAGGCATGCCTACATCATTCCCACATTGTTTCACCAGCTCTCGATATCGGGAGCTCGGATGTAACACATGCACCGTGCAGTCACGTGATGGATGGTGGTGAGCTGGGGCCAGAAAGACCTCAGAGCTCCCAGCTGTGGCCCGTGACCCTGAGGGCATCTGGGTGTCCCTTTACCTCTTCCGCACCTAGCTACCTGCAGTGTTTCCGTCTGCTTCCTCAGGGTGGCTCTGGGCATTTAATTAGGTGTGAGACACAGAGCTGGAGGCAGTCAGTATTTAATGTTCTTTCTCTCGCTCTCTGACAGCCTTTACCACGCTTTGAAGCGAGCTCTCATTGTTCTCCTGTGCCCTCCCACCTCCAGCTGAATGGCTCTGATTGTTTCCAAGACTCTTCACTTGTCAGGTTTCAAGTTTCCTCCCCAGTTTGCCAATAACTGGCACCTCTTTCTGACTGTAGCAACCGGAAGTGGTTGCAGTGCTTCGAGCTAAACCTGTAGGATCGGAGGCCAGCGAGACCTCTCCGCTGGGGCCTCAGATTTTGGTTACTGTTGAGGGGTAAATTTTCCAAGGGACAGAGTGAGGAGGCCTTCGTTAAGAATGTTGATGCTAATTCAAATGCATTGATTCTCTGTCCAAAACAAAGGTGAGAGGACTTAAGTATAAACAAAAAGAACCCCAAATAACTCAGGCTCTTGGAGGGGCTCTTCCTGCAATCTGACTAGTATAGAATACAGTAGAACCGTCACATCCTTTGTCCTAGTTTGGTGTGTTACTGCTAATGTAACCTATAGTCGCAACCATATCTGTACGGTCTGAATGTGCCTCAGCTAATTCTCTGGGGCTCCTTTCAAGTGGAAGAACTTGAGAATTCAGTTCTCACCTCTAGTAGAGAAGTACAGCTACTAAAGTACGGTTGACCAAAGAACAAGCTTCCAGATCATCCTCACAGAGAGGTTATATATGTGCATTATCTACAAAGCCGTATTGTGGCTGTGCCCAGGTGCTCCTCTGTCTCTCCAGTGCTAGCTCATGTAATCCTTACAAAGCTCATGCGAAGTGGGTGCAGTTGTCGCTGCTTCAGAACAGGGAAGTGGAGGTCAAGTCTTTTTCCCAAGGACACACAAAGCGTAAGTGGACGAGCTAGGAGTCAAGCCTGGGAGCTCCGGCTCCCAAATCCGGGTGTGTGACTGTTTCATGCTGCAGTGCCTGCCCCCCTCCAGCTCTACCATTTAAGGTTGTGTGTGTGTGTGTGTGTGAGAGAGAGAGAGGGAGGGAGGATGTGTGTGTGACTTACAAGGTTCAAGGGGGAGAAGAAGGGTCCACAGTTTAGTCACACAGAATCAGTCCTATCCTCCAAGGGGGCTGAGGGTAACCCCTGTCACAGGTGGGTCTCACTCCACCTGCTGAAGGCAAGGTTAAATGTCCAGTCTTCCTCTTCCTGTTCTTGGGGGCTGTTGCCTGTTTGAACCCAAGGGAAGGACTTGGAAATGAACAGAGATAAATGTACTCTTGTTGAATTCAGCCTGTGCTTCCAGCCAGCTGAGCCTCACTTTTGGGAGTGGTGGCCCAAGTCAATGTTGCCCTGCTCCAGTCCTGAGGGCCTCCAGGCTCCGCCTCTGTGATGTTGATGCACACCCTTAGAGCCCGCTCCCAGGAGCCTTTGCAGCCTCTGGGGAGAAGGGGGAAGGTTTGCCGGCCATCAGTCATCCCTGTAACAAATCCCAGCTGAGATGTTCCACAGGGAGAGGCAGCGAAGAGAAAACTGCTGCTTCTGAGCCCCAAGGTAGCAGATGGAGCTGGAACCAGACAGGCAGCCAAGAACTGTGCTGGCAAGACAGTGCTGGGCAAGGCTACACCCAGGGGACCCCCGCAAAGTGATCCCCTAAAGAAAAGGAAGCCTGGACAGAGGAGCAGTGGGCCAGGTTCTAAGGAAGGGTGGACTGTGTTCTCACAGGTTTCTGCACTGCGATAGGAGCAGAGGAGCCGAAATTCAAGGAAGAGCCCTGTTCACACCTAATCCCTGGAACCTGTAAATGCATTACCTCATGCAGCAAAAGGGAGCTTGCAGATGTGATTAAACCTTTACGTGGAGAAGTTACACTCGGTTTTCGCGTGGGCGCAGTCATAGGAAACCATAAATGCAGAGAAACCTTTCAAACTGCGGCAAGAGATTTGATGTGAGGATGGAGCCTGTTACCGGCTTTGAAGAAAGGGGACCACAACCTGAGGAACGTGGGCAACCTCTAGAAGCTGGAAAAGACAGGAAAATGGATTCTTCCCCGGATCCTCCAGAAAGGAACACAGCCCTGCTGGCTGTATGGGCTTGACTTAGCCCAGTGATACCCGCGCCAGATCTCTGATCTACAAAGCTATACCATAAAAAATTTGCATTGCACACGCTATGAAGTTTGTGATGATTTGTTACAATGGCGGTAGGAAATGAATACAAGCCTTTTGACCTGCACGGAGACCTTTCCTCGTGAACAACTAGCCGCTGGGCAAAAATGCCAGAGCTAATCTCGAATGCACGTACGGAGCGGAAGGGTATTTCAACAGGGGTTTTACATCAGGGAGCAAACTAGCAGCCCGAGAGCCAAACCCGCCAGCCAACAGTACCAGGAAATGTCACACAAAATTTGAGTTTCCAGATACTCTTACAAAGTTGAAAGGGACACTGGGCCCGCAGTTGCACGTGACAATCTCAGCAGGGACTTTCCAGCGCAGATGAGGCAGCGCCTGCTCCCCAGTGCATTGCCGCCCATCCCTGCGCGAGCTCTCACGCTGACCCTGCCCCGCTTCTTGAGGTCATTTGCTGCACCCCCTGGGTAAGTCACCCTCTACCACTGTGTCCTAATGTCTTACCCAGAAATTTGAGATGTTTCTCTTCCTAAGAAGCCTGGAAGAATCCACCTTTCCTCATTTTCTCCTAATACCCAACCTGCTCCCAGATGTTCTTGCTATTCGTGGGGGTGGTCACTGACCATCAAAACGGCCTGCGATTGTTCCTCGGTTTGAGCACACACTTAAGGCTTCTGCCAAATTCCTGTTCATTTGGAGCCAACCTGGGAGAAGGTAGTGCTGGCCCAGCTGGTCTCTTAGGAAGGGACCTTGGAGGCCCAGTATCATCCTCAGGGAGCAGTGGGGGAAATGGGCACCCATGCGGGAGCTGGCTTCTGGTGGTCTGCAGACTAAAAGAAAGGTTCCCCCCGCCCCCCTAGGCAACTCAGCCCAAAGCAGTCTGCATTCTTGAGAACTCTGAGATTAATTGGGGTAAGGAAGAATCAGAGGGGAGAAGCCTCTCTCTTCTGGTCTCTAGAGTTCACTCTCAAACTGGACTAGGGCTGGGCTAGTCCACGTTCTCCGTCTTTAGCCTTGACAGAGCCTGAGCTCCTAATCCCAGTTAAGGCCAGTGACAGCCCCGAAGAGGACAAGGCAGGAAGGGTGGCAAAAATAGTAACCTGGGGAGGGAGACAGCGTGTGATCCCAGAAGCCCCATGGCCCCACCAGAGGGCCAGGGCACTGGGCTCAGCTGTGCTCACAACTCAAAATACGGCTTCTTGGCTCCACGGTGGTCCCTTGGCCCCAGCCCAGGGATGGGCCTCGCGTGCATTAGGAGAAAGGAGAGCTATGTCACCAGGTCAGGAAAGGGGTGAAAGGAAGTGAGGTGAGGCTGGCCACCTGCTCACTCCATGCCGGTGAATGCCAGGGACCCCGAGCTCCCGGCTGCCGAGCAAGACGAGGCTGTGAGCCATCCCAGGCCGGGGCACGCAGGTGAATGATCACAACCTCACAAATGCCAGGACTGGAGGCAATCCAGGAGGACTTCTCATTCGGTGCTTTTCTGATCGTGCTCCATGGGGCTCTGGTATTTCGAAATAGCTCTCCGTGGGGCCGCTGATGTGGAGGGGAACAGGGAGCGAAACCCTCCGGGGATCCAAACAGAACAGCGCTATTTTTACGTCTTTTATACACGCAGTTTCTGTTTTTAAATATTGTTGGATAAAACCGATTCTACCAAAAAAGATTAAAAAAGGTTTGAAAACCACCCATCTTATCTCATCTTTCACTGAACAAATAAGAAAACTGAGCCCCAGAGAGGTGACTGACTGGAAGTCACAGAGAAGGAGCCAACACCAGGACTCGGAGGTGGAGCGCTGGCTCGGCGGCTGCCAGATTCCATTCTCCACTTTTTCCTGTTATTAATAAAAGCT